GGGAATAAATTTTTTAAAGTGTTTAGATTATGCAATAATTTTTTTAGATTTTTCAATTAACTTTAAGTACTTGAAAAAAATTTTTTTAAGTGACGTACTCGCTTTCGAGGCCGTGCGCGCAACCTAACAATGGCGCGCGGCGGGCTATTTTCAGCGTTAAATTAAAATTATAAATAATGGAGCTACAGTTCCGGGAGTTGGAACTTTTTTTACTAAATTTCCTCCTCTTTAAGGATCTTTTTTTCAAATTTCGAAAATATTTATAGTTTACGGACAATAAGCAATAAACGAAACGCTATTTTTTGAAGGTGTTTAATTGTTAATAACTTTTGGAATTTTTTGTGCTAATTCAATTTTTTAGCACAATGGTCTAGACATTATTCCGAATCGAATGAGCTAAACCACATAATTTTAGCAGTAGTATGTCGAATTAACACCATTTTTAACTTGTCGACTAGACTAAGAGTAGAAGTGTCACTAATGGGACGTTAGTTACAAATGTATTGACTAAAAATACTACTGAATTCTGGATAAATATATTTCTTAGTTTGCCCTAATAAGTAAAGTAAATGAACATGTAAACTAGTAAGTAGAGTAAAATCTGAAGTTGACTGTTCGAAATATAACAAGTAGGTCGCAATAAATTGATAAAATATATTGTTGGAAATTCGGCACACTATTTTAGATATTATTTTACAATTCAGATATATTAGATTAATATTTGCAGTATGTGACAAAAAACAATCTAAAAGCATTTAAAGATGATAATTATAAAATGTGAGTGCAATACTTTTTGGAATTTCTTTATATATTTTGAAATTTTGCTATTGTAATGTGATGACGTAAACCATAAATGACGCACCACAGTGGTCCATGTATTAAACACCTCCTTCTACTCTACAATTACAGTGTAAGATAATAATATCTCATTAGAGTTTACCTCATGACATTACAAATATATCGGTTCGAAGGGTGGGGTAGCCGTTGTAACTATACTGAGACCTTAGAACTTATATCTCGAGGTGGGTGGCGCATTTACGTTGTAGATGTCCAAGGGCTCCAGTAACCACTTAACATCAGGTGGGCTGTGAGCTCGTCCGTCCAACAAAGCAATAAATATATATATATAGAAATTAGAATAGCCTGAGCAACAGTTGTAACAGAAATCGTTGAGTCACTGTTACTTAATTAAATTATTATTTATTAACCGAAAATACCTTCAAGAAATAATGTTTTTTTGGTCCTTATTAAACTCAATATGTTATTATATTAGATAAATATTTCCGTAGCTTTTTTTATAAGAGTTCATTTGTTGATTTTTAAATTGAACAAGAATGACAACACTTTTCAATCAAAATCAGCAACGTTTGTTTGAATCCCTATTGTCAAGATGGTGCAGCGTGGATCTCCAAACGAACGCTTCAGTTAAGCCGTCTCAGCTATAGTGCTCACGATTTCGTCCGGACTTAACCCAGCATATGCCTATTAATAGTTTAAATAGAGTAGACTTCAACACTCATCGCCGACTTTAAATAATTTAACGAAAAAATATTCTGGCACTTGTAAGACTGTAATAGAGGAGTTTGTACTCTTCTTCTAATGTTTTTATTTTCTTCTCGGTCAATGCTAAGGCTTGTTGTAATTGAATGGTTCCTTTGTTTTTCTGTTCTTCTAGTAACTTTCTTTCGTCATCAATGTGTTTCCATACTGATTCAAACCAGTGTAGAGATTCAAAATTAGAATCCTAAAAAAAATAGGTTCAATATTAATATTATGTACTTGAGAAGGAAACTTTTTTTTTTGTTATGAAACTGACAATCCTTTTACACCCACGATGGAAAGTGATTTCGGTCTGATCCATATTATACTGAAGCGGTAACAATTGTTTTTGTCTCAGATTTGTTTTTAGCAGTGCTTTCCTGAATCTATCACCTGATCGGAATTGCGACCCGCCGAGAAACAGTGTTCGATTTGTGTCTGTGGGCTACATTGCATGTGAACTCTTCTCATCGAGAAAACCTCGTGCTAGCTTACATTATGTCATTCCATTAATAATTATCAATGTTAATTACGTAGAGTGATAAATTTAGCGCGTTTAGTTTTACGATTTAGATTAGACAATTTTAATTCTTTTACTTATACAAATGTGTTGTAACATGAGGTAAGGTTGGTATATGGATGAATCGAATGGGGTTATGAAGAGTGATCGTCATGAGTGTTGCTATAACTCTTGAGCAGATGAAATTGTTAACATTACCTGATCTAGTAATTTCAGTATGTAAGCAATTCCCATAGCAAAACCATCATCAGTAAAAGCAGCTCCTATTTTATTCTTTTTCGACATTTTATCTTTCGATAAGATTAGATGTTCCACAAAATTAAGTGTCAATGGAGGAACAATAATATAAAAATTCTTCAAATGAACATTCTTAGGATTTCGGAAAACGGGTGAGAACACGTCTACCAGCAGCTTGAAATATTCAGTTCCTTGAATAAAGTTGGAAATAAGGTCGTTTGTGTTCTGATCTAGAATTTCCGCTGATTGAACAGTCTGGGNATCTTTCGACAAGATTAGATGTTCCACAAAATTAAGTGTCAATGGAGGAACAATAATATAAAAATTCTTCAAATGAACATTCTTAGGATTTCGGAAAACGGGTGAGAACACGTCTACCAGCAGCTTGAAATATTCAGTTCCTTGAATAAAGTTGGAAATAAGGTCGTTTGTGTTCTGATCTAGAATTTCCGCTGATTGAACAGTCTGGGGCCCAAGAGCCTCTTTTTGGCATAGTTCTTTGAAATTAACAACATCTTCCAGATTTGGCAGGAAAACAGTCGCATCCGAACAGCAATGTCGGCCGCCTGACCTAATCATCCTAACATATCCCATGGCGTTTCCAATTTGACTAATAAGATCTCGAAACAGATCTAAGTAACTCTGTCCATCCTCTGAAAGTCCCAACACCTTTATACCCTTGTTAAATCTTTCTGCATTTTTAAATGGATACATGTAGCTGTAGTTTCCATCAGTGGTTTCTTTGAAGATTCTAAGATCTTTAATTAACCTGGATTTTATATGTTCATCATACATGAACTGAGAAAATGTAAAGAACTTCTTTTTTAAAAACTGGTATGTAAAATTCACTGTTGTGTTCATTATCCCAGTACCATGAGTCCGTATAGAATTGGCGACATGTCGAATGTTAATTGAGCTCAAGTGTTTATTGTTGCTGCTTCTTTCAATAAATATTTGATTGTTTAGATTGTAAAGATACTTCGAAACGAATATATGAATGTTGCGCATAATCTCTAGTATATCTAGGCCCTGCTCCAGAGTCTGAGTTGGGAGATTATCTTGAACCGTTTTTAAATTGAATTTTAGTCTCGCCATTTGTCTCATTTCACCATAAGTTTTCCAATCTGATAATACAACGGTAGTTAGGTTGTAGAACATTGTTGAAAGATAGTGTTCAACTGATGGCACAACACACATGTAAATGTACTGAACTCTAAAAGTATTAATTGCTAGAAGCAATTTTTTTACCATTTCAAAAGTAAATGGATTGATTACATCAAGTTGAAGATGTGAATGTATATGCAATCGTAAATTTGTTTCAATATTCTGACTTGCACCTTTGATAAATTTTTGTTCCATGTACTTTTTAACTGTTTCCATAAAATCTTCTTTTATATTACTATCAAATAATTTATCTGTTTTATGTAATAGCACCGTACAGTCTTCTAAGGCCATTAAGAAGTATTTTAATTTTAAAGTACTCAATTGCATAGAAAAGTTTTGATCAAAGTAAATTGGAAATATGTTCTGATGCCAGAACAGCCAAGAGCAATTGCAAAAACTTTCCATTGATTTCATCAAGTTTGTCAATGTTTGAACATTCTCTAACAACAAACCAAGCTTTACATAGCTGTCTTCTAAATAAGTACTTTCAGGTATAAAGCTCAGTGCTGTGTTAGCTACTACATTTCGTTCAATTGTAGCTACGCCACGAAGTGCTTTTTCTGCAATAACGATGCATGTAAGTTCATCCAATCTTTTATTTGCGAAATTCTTGTCTGAAACTAATAATTTCTTTACTTCTAATATTGTTGATGTTGCTTGGAATACAAAATGTTGAATGACCATATTGATAGATAAAATTATTTGGCTTCTATGCCGTGATATTGCATTCAGCATTGATTTTAAAATATTGATTATCTCAAATACCAACATTAACATACTCTTTGGAAGAGGTATCCCAAGGGAAAGATGTAAATTTATCAATGTCAAAACTTCATGATTGATTCTGGATGCTAGGTCCAAGCCATTTAAAAGAGTTCTGGAATGTAAATTCATTTCAGCAGCACTAAGCCTATGATGATCAGCAGAAAAGAAATCTTCAATATTTAACACCCATTGACCACATACTATTTGAAGATTAATTATATCACGAGATAGGCTAGTTTTTTTCATATTGATATACGATTGCCGTGTTTTCAACATAGTTTGTGATAATTTTTCCTGTTTTGCACAAAGTGCAGGGGCATGTTTCTGTAGAAATTGCTCAGGATACCACATAGTTGTTCCAATCACATGAACACTGTGTGCCTGAAAAATAAGACTGTTTGTATAAACTTTATTCATTTCAGCTGGCTCTCTGTCTGTGCCATGTGTAAATGTTACAAAAGTTACAATTGCTATAAATAAAATTAACACCAACCTTTGTGTTCAATTCCACTAATGACTTAAATATCTTCTTGTCTACATTACCAAACAATTGTGAAGACAATACAAATAAACTATTAATTTTAATACATTTGTACATATTTCGAACATTGGGTTGTTCCTGTACAAGTTTGTCCAAATTTATAATTCCCTGTTTAAGGTAGTGTGAAAACTCTGTTGCTATCATAGAACAATTCTTGTCAATCAAGTTCTTTCTCAATAGTGATACACTTTGTAATGATTTTTGTACAATATCATCATTCATTATTTTGACTGTGATGTTATTAATAGCCCCCATCATTGCATTAAATTTCTCTTCAGTAATATCTAAAGCTGCCGAGTTCTTGTTATGGTATGTTTTTAATGTTTTGCAAAATTTATTCCAATTTGTGGGCATTGAAGTATTGGCTATCAGTATTTCAAGTAAGACAAGAATAGTAAATATCTCTCCAATGTGGTTGATGATATAGTGTAGTTGAATGCAATCTACAATATCATGTTAGTATTAAGGTCATTAATGAATAATTTCATTTTAATAATTCGAAATTTACAACTAATGTCGGGGCTATCTACTTTCAGTGATAGCATAAATTTAATCAAATAAAAAAATAATATGCTAATTTAACCATGTAATATTGAACAAAAATAATTAATAGTAAACTCACTGAGATTAACAGTTCCATCGGAAAACAAAGCAAAAACTTGGTTGCACATGTTTCTTAAAGTTTCATCACATCGAATGATAAATGCGCAGAGTAAGCATATCATTTCCATCTGGGAACTCACATCTTCTGTTTCATATTTTTCATAAGCAGCCAAGTAGATAAAATACCTGAAACACAATTAAAATATTGCTACATTCACTTGCATAATTAAAAGTTTACACTTCTGCTTAGACGTAACTGTGGAATGTTTCTTCATAAAAATGAGAATTTTTATAAAGTTCAATCATAGCTATTATTACTGTGGATTTTCGGAAACTCGATAAATAAAACTCACTTTTCAAAGGCTTCCTCTTTCAAGTTATTTACTTCAACACATAAGGAAGTAAACACACTCAAAACTTTAGTCATAAATGTGTTATCCGATACTACTAACTCAGTAATTGGTACGAGCTCGTGTGGACTCATGAGTAATTGAATCGGCAAAAATGTTTTATTATCATCTAGTATTTCATTATTGCAATTGAATGCCAAAACCTGATACTGCATCTTGAAAAATATGCCATATTTTTTTAAAATATTGCTTGTACTTTCTTTCTCGAAATCACTTTTCATTTTTATGCACTTGTATTTCAGATTAAAATAATATTGAAAGAAATAATCACTATGTACTTTTTGTTGACTATTAATTACGATAATTCTGTTTAAAATGTTTTTTGTTGATGTTTATTACTCAAAATAGTAGTAGTTTTATTTTTCCAACTGGAAAGGCAAAGGTGTCATACCATACAGCCTAATCTTTTATATATTTTTTATTTATGAAAAATGATATTATGAAATGACCTGAAGTTGATTAAATTAATATGAAACATGGCATGAAATGAAATGAAAACGAAATGGAATGAGATGATATGGGATGAAATAAAATCTCAGGAAAATGGTGCTCATTTACTGAGACTTTTTCAGTGGAGTTTTTGGAGGATCCTGTGAAGTTACGCTCAGCGGCTTTGTTTCATTTTCCCACATTTGTGCATTTTCACAGATACTAAATAGTTATTAAACCACCGTTATTACACATTTAAAACTGAAGAAACTATTTTACGTTAGATACTTATTAGAGTACCCTTTTTAGTGTTCTAATAGTAGATGAAACGTTGTAGAATACGGGTTTGAATCTACTAACGTTTAATATAAGATCTTAAAGTGATTTTTATAGTAGTACGAATGAACAGCTTGACTAACTAGTCACGTTTATATTTATTGTATTATCGCCATATCGTTATATTTATTAACAGGACTGACGTTAAAATATTTCTTCGAAACCACTGCGCGACACGATAACCCTTTTAACGTCGCCGCCCCTAATTATATATCCGCCCCTTACGTAGTAACTAATTTATTTATCTGTGGACCCATTGCATTCAAAGCAACTGGTCGACTTCTTCGACGTGTAACAACGCACAAACAGAAACCACCATCTGTTGGTAGTTTCAGCAAGGGGCTGATGTTAGCAGTATGTCAGGTTAGGCTCCGTAAGCTTACAGGGTAAAGTGTGCATAGTGCTTTTTAACGTTCTCGATAGCGTAAAAGTTAGCCCAATTTTGTATGCAGTTGGAATAGCGCCCCTAGCGGCAAACGTAGGCAAACGATCTCATTTCATACAAACATGAGCGAACTTCTACGTTATCGAGAACGTTAAAAAACTCGCACTAAGCACACAGTATTGTGTAACGGTTGTCCCACTTTTCAAACCGAAACGCTACCACCAGTAATTACGTAAATTATATTTTTTGCGACTTTATTTATATTACACGTTAGTCTTTCATCGTGGAAGTCATTCATGAACATGTGTGAAGTATTTCAAAATTGATACCTACCTATGGGATTCGAACACCAGCATAGTCGTAGTGCTCGTTACGAATATGCAGAGTGTCTTATTCTTTAGGCTACAATGAGTTGCTTTTAAATTTCAAAACTGTTTTAAAAACGAATAAATTATTCTCATTACAGACATTTACTACCATACATTGATGAACGTAGTCAAATGTGATTGTTTTTAACATTCATATTTGGATAATCAAAATTAGCTATATACAAATTTGTGAAAATTAAGAAAAGGGCCGAAACCTCTTAACTTTATGTACAAGAGTTCTTTAGCAGCTTCTAAAGAGGTATTGTACATAAAGTTAAGGGTACAACCTGAATGGAGGTTTTGGCCTTTTTCATAATTTTCACAAATTTGCATAGACAGTTGAAACTAGACTGAAGACCTTTTTAGCAGCTTCTAAGGTCTTTTACATAAACTTAAGGGTAACTTGAAGTATAATTAATTGCAGGATCTCAAGGGTTATATATCAAAACTTAAATTAGTATAAAGTTTTTTTAATAACAACACAATTATATACTTAGAGCTAAACTTAGCATATGGGATGAAATATAAGAGAGAGTAAACTATTGTTTTTTGAAACTTTTAAGTATTGGATATATATTGTCAAAGGCTTCATATATTTCTTCCCTTACTTTGGCCCCAGTCAATACAACTTTTCCTGAAACAAAGATCAAAAGAACTATCCTAGGTTTGACCATTCTGTAAATAAGGCCAGGGAATAATTCAGGCTCATAAGAACTGAACTGTCCGTGTGTTAGTACTAAGCCTTCAAGCCTTATGGGGAACTTCACATCGCAACTACCGACCATGTTCTGTATTTTGAAATCTAAAAATTTTGCCTGCAAAAAAAAATACATATTTTTCTTGGCATAAACAATAAAAAAAGATATATAAACACAAATGATATCTACGTTCAGTAGCGAAGTTTTGAGTTTAATTTCGAGNGAACTGAACTGTCCGTGTGTTAGTACTAAGCCTTCAAGCCTTATGGGGAACTTCACATCGCAACTACCGACCATGTTCTGTATTTTGAAATCTAAAAATTTTGCCTGCAAAAAAAAATACATATTTTTCTTGGCATAAACAATAAAAAAAGATATATAAACACAAATGATATCTACGTTCAGTAGCGAAGTTTTGAGTTTAATTTCGAGCGAGCTTGTACGATACGTACACCTTAGGACCCTACATTGACTGCTTCAGATCGACAAGAGTAATCGCCAGGAGACGGGCATCTGGCGTCTTATAGGATTTCAAGAAATCTTATAAGATTAATAAACCCGTCCAACCCGGGTTGACGTCATTCGCCTTATTGACACGTGTGACGTGCTGCGTACCCAACAGCTGAGAAAGTATTAAAACTATGAAAAGATTATATTCATGTCTATTTCAGATTTTTTTAAAACTTAAATGTAGTTTTAGACTCTACCTAGACTAGATGTATTGTAGAATCTAAGGAAAAACATTATTCGAGATACCTATTTGATATCTAAATTTTTGGTGCTAATCCATCCATCAAGTGAAACTGCTTGTCTAATTGTGATTGAAATAAATTATAATACTCACTGTGAAGCCTAATTTCTGGATTATTCTAGCATATTTTCTTGCCGCTAAACGGGAGTCTTCCTCACTTTTGGCACCAGTACAGACCATTTTACCAGATGAGAAAATTAAAGCTGTTGTTCTCGGTTCCCTTATTCTCATAATTACAGCGGCAAAACGTTTGGGATTATACTCAGCATTACGAGCATGTAATGCAATCTTCTTCAAATCTAATTTGCAGTCAAGATTTACAGTAGAGACTATGTTTCTGAAATGTTTTTTGAATGCAACTTTAAAAAAATATGGATTATTTAGACTTAATTTTAGTCAAAATTGTGATTTTTTTCTACATTAAAACGAGATTTCATTTTATTAGTTGGTTAAAGTATGTTAGACTTTTCATCTTTAAACCAAAACATTACACTCCATTGGGCAAGTAATATAATAGATATTTGAAACTATTTATTCAAAAATTTTAAATTGATATTTACTCAAAAAATTCAACCTAGGGCATGCTGAAATTAATTTTAATTTTATATCTTTAACACTAACATTCTGGCACTTCAAATCTCCCATTAATTATCGAATTAGAGAAAACGAGGAAAGAATCCAGGTAGCAAAGGCGCCATTTGAGTTGCTCTGCTCTGATACTGAATAATAACATATTATAGTGTAAGAATTCTGTATTTTCAGCAATCACTTTTTGTATTAATTAATGAAATTCCATGGGATATAAATTGAAGGGAAATTATAATTCCAATATTAACATTTGAATAGATGTTTGAAAAGTATAGTCAAAATATTGAAGAGTTCCTCAGAATCTATGTTCTGTACAGTGAACACTAAGAACCACACTATTGTTGGCTTGGCTGCCACAAGTTGCTTATTTGCAAATTTGAGTATTACTATCAATACAGTTTGCATTATGCTAAGTCCAGCAAACAAGGGCCAAATATATTATGAAGTTCCAAGCCAGTTACTTTTACGAGAAGGTATATATTCAACAAAATAACCAAGCTTACTGAATGATACTAACCACCATTCTTTTTTATTACTGTCCATCACATTTACAGTATGATTATGATCTTTGAGCATACTAAAATGAGAAAATTGGTTGTTTTGTAAATAATATCATACTGCAAAAATTTTACATATAAAAAAAACTAGTGTTGACTAAATTTGTCATCTTTTGATATAATTTGCAAGGTAGTGGCCCCTTTTGTAAAAGTGAAGTTATTTTAAAACATGTCTCATAATAATTAACTCAATCAAACTACATTTAGTTTTGCCAACTTAATGGTTATTTAGCCTTACAATATAAAGTAAACAATGTAAAATTGGCAAAATTATCCTCATAATAACAACATGGTCCAGCATAGCAGACTTCAATGGCAAAAAATGTCTTGTATCAGAACATGTGTAATTATTTGTGATTTGCCCTGAATTGTGAACCTACACAGGATGATNTAATTTGCAAGGTAGTGGCCCCTTTTGTAAAAGTGAAGTTATTTTAAAACATGTCTCATAATAATTAACTCAATCAAACTACATTTAGTTTTGCCAACTTAATGGTTATTTAGCCTTACAATATAAAGTAAACAATGTAAAATTGGCAAAATTATCCTCATAATAACAACATGGTCCAGCATAGCAGACTTCAATGGCAAAAAATGTCTTGTATCAGAACATGTGTAATTATTTGTGATTTGCCCTGAATTGTGAACCTACACAGGATGATAATACTAAAATTCTGTCTATATGTGTCACAAAGCAGATATTATTAATTTCAGCTTGGAGGGTGATGATACAAAAATGTCCTTGAAATTTCTTACTTTTTAAGATGGTGATATTGTGATGTTTATCACTTAGATCTCTGGTTATCACTTAGAACAGGTTATCTTTGACTTTAAATACACGTTGTTTTTTTTTAGCAGAATGAAAAATAACCTGGCCTCTTAAACTGTTTCAGATTAACTGTAATTTGAAGTCTGTGTGAAGTTGTGAGAAGTTGAAGATTCTTAAGAGACCCCACTAAGGGTCTAATAAGGTTCATTATACACATCACTGCTGAGTTTAATACTCTAAACTTTTTAATTTAATATTTTATTAAATTGATATTGGACAAATGTTTCAAATACTAACTGTAACTGTGGTAAAATTCCAGGGTCTGCAGAGAGTGGTGTCAGAGGAGTCATTGGGGCAGGACTAGCTTGGCTTAGCATTTGTTGACTTGATAGATTTCCTGCAGCTATCATCGGAGACATCATATTTTGCTAAAAGTTGATATAGCTGAATGTTAAT